ACGGTAACCAACCACATGAAAGAGGCATGGAGTAAAATTGATAGGAAAAAAATGTATGGTGGGAAGTACAAGGAAAGGAGTGAGGTGAAAGAAAGAAGGAAACGATATAAGAGAATAAAATCAAAGAAAGCTGATGCTTTTCTCCACAAAGAAGGGTTACAGTACAAGTCTCAGGCATTCTATACCTCCAATAAAGACAAACCAGCTGGAAACCACAAAGTAACAGGTAAAGCAAAAGGAAATAGAAAAGGAAAGAGCAAGAAGACTAACAAAGGAAAGTAATAGCTGTTTTGTAAATGATCATGCCACTTTAGTAGACAACAGTCATCTCAATTAGGGAAAAATCATGGTCAATCCCTAATAGTATTGTTGGGAATCTACTCCTACTAAGATACTGCTGTTCAACAGATGGAGCATATTAATCATTTACAGTACAGTCTAGTTTTCGGCCTAAGCCCATGTTACATAACAAAATGTTGAATATACATTTATGTTTAGTAAGGGGTCTACTTGTATTTATGTTATGCACTTGTCATTGGAACCGCCCCCCAGGGAAAACATGAGGCATTGGACCCTTTGAGAGAAAAAAGTGGAAAATGTCCCACCCCATTGCCAAGTTTCAAGCCGAGGGTGACTGGGTATAAGTCCCTAAATATTATGATTATCGACATAAAACCCACATAATCAGAAAGAGCACAATCAACCTATACAAAATCCCGAAGTTTGGTATTAATCGAGTAAAAACTGATCAAGATACAGGGGAAATGGGGGGAAACTTGACAAGTAAATCACCACCCATCCCTCATATATGCTCCATGTCTCCATGGGTGGAGGTGTCTTATGACAAGTACATTCCATAAATATTGGCAACTTTTCCAACCCAAACTGGAAACAAAAGTCAGAAAAACTCACTTCTCTTATCTCTCCCTTGATATCACCTGGTGCGATGTATCTCAGGAATTGTAGGACTTCTCTTGGAAAAGCATATTCGCTATTATCAGGACCAACTCCATTTTTCTAGAATCAAGCCGAAAAATTTTGTTGCGTGAAGACCATGCACGCTTGGTAACTAAAGATTCAACTATGAAATCTTCTTTAATACTTACGATCAGTGCGTGTGTCCATCCACAATAGAAGCAATATCGTACCATTCTAGGAGGTTTACCCCGCTTCTTGAGTCGATCTTCGACGCCAATTTCAAGTTGACTGATGAAATGTGTTCCGTCATAACTAGTAAAAAATATGTTGCTGTATTAAATGCTGTGTATGTAAACGAACTCGGAACTGCTAAAAATATTATGTTCAAATCGAACAAGAAAAGAACAAAGCGAAACAACATACCCTTCATCTCTCGTCGTTGAGAGCAATATTTGTTTGTAGTCCACATCACGATCTGCTTCAGTAAAACTATCTACTTTTGAAGGACATTTCTTCCTGGTCTTTCGTCGCTTTTTCGTCGCGGGTGTAAGCCTCACTACTTCTAAACGAGAGGACCAAATTCAGTTCGTAGGCTTACGTGTGAGTATAGTCAGAAAATTTGATGAATCGGTTGGAAAACGCTCCAAACGCACGTGGCGAAATAGTTCAGAATATAAACAAATTCTGACAAAACCAACGGCAACGAAATACACGATCGCAAACTCGAGACGATAATTTCAAGTATATAATTTCAACAAAAGTCTTTAACGTGTAAAACGCACAGTAACCGTGAACATAAACGTGAAACGTGGTTCGACTAAATAGAATAGATATAGACCTAAATTAATACTAAATCGTATAAACTGACTATATAAAACATAACTACACAATAAACTTATGAACTGCATGCACATAAATTGTCACTTACAGATGTTTTCCCTGTCGCTCTTTTTCGTCTATTCTTTTACCATAAAATACTCTAAAAAATGTAGCAGTTCCTCTCTCTTTGAATTACAAAACTATACTGACCCATACACTGGTTTGCGTGTCATGATGTACACTTGTCATATAAACCAATTATGAGATAAAATAAAGGCTGATTATCTATACTAACAAATGTTCGACTGCTATGTGATCATTAACAGATGCGAGTGTCATTCACAATGATGCACTTATTTAGCTTAACGTCTTAATGTAGCTTTCCGATCCAACATACCGGCCCCTAAATGCGAAACTATTTATGTGAAGCATTTCCCAAACATAAATGGATCGAAAAGTAAAATTATCTATTAATAAATATCAAACCGTTCACTTGGTTCTTCCTTCTCCTTCTATGTGTTCCACTGTCTCCAACAGGACTATCTTCGCCACCGGCCGGTCCAAGATTGTAGACTTCGTTCTCACCGAGACACTTCGCACGAGCTTATCTTTACTGTTCCGGTGAACGTCGACTATCCTTCCCAACGGCCATCTGCAACGAGGCGAGCTTTCGTCAACGAGAAGCACAATATCTCCCACGGCAAAGTTCCTTCGAGAGTTGGTCCATTTTTGGCGTTCTTGCAGACGTGGTAGATACTCTTTTACCCAACGTTTCCAGAAGATATCTGCAAGGTATTGGACTTGCCTCCATCTGCGACGCGAATGGGTATCGTTGTTGGTAAATACACCGGGGGGAACGTGGGATCCTTTCCGGAGCAGTAACAGGTGGTTTGGAGTGAGGGCTTCGAGATCTTTAGGATCGTCCGAGACTTTCGTAATTGGTCGGCCGTTCACAATTGCTTCGACTTCGCACATGAGGGTGTACAAACGTTCGTCGTCAAGCACTTGCTCTTTCGTAATTGCATTCAGAACCTTCCTTACCGTACGAATACAACGTTCCCAAACACCTCCGTGGTGATATGCTTTGGGTGGGTTGAAAGTCCATTTCACATTTCTCTGCGTCAAGAACTGGTTGATCTTCTCTTGATTCCACAAGTTGATGGACTCCCGTAACTCTCTATTTCCTCCAACGAAATTCGTTCCGTTATCGGACCGTATCTCTTCAGGCTGACCCCGCCTCGCTAAAAATCTCCTCAACGCATTGATAAACGAGTCAGTGTCCAAATTGTTCGCAATTTCGATATGTACCGCTCGAATCGCCAAACAAGTGAACAGTACACCGTATCTTTTCACACGACTTCTATCGCGTTTCACTGTGAAAGGCCCAAAACAATCTACGCCTACGTTAGTGAAAGGCGGTTTCCCAGGTGTGACACGATCTTCCGGAAGATCTGCCATCTTTTGCTCACCAACAGGTGCACGTCTCTTCTTACAATCATGACACCGTCCTAGTACGCTCTTGATTGCGACGCGAGCGCCAACAATCCAGTATCTTTCTCTTAATAATGCTAGAACATGCTCCAATCCAGAATGGGCAGAAATGTCGTGGTAATACTCGATGATTAATTTCACGACATGATGACTTTTTGGTAATATCACAGGATTCCTCGCTTCATCTGAGAGTGTTGAGTTTCGCAAACGTCCTCCAACGCATAAAACGTCATTCTTCGAGATCGGGTCAAGCTTGTAGATTGGACTTGATGGTTTGATTGCTCTCAAGTTGCCATTGTTTTCGGCATTGGAACTTTCTTTCTTTCGAATAGCTGCAATCTCAATTGGGAAACTTTGTTGTTGTACAACTTTGACGATTTCGCGTTCCGCTTCTTGCATCTCTTTAACAGTCATCGGCTGAATCTCTGTGTGTTTCGGTACGGGCTCCCCTCGAGAACGTCTTTCGCGAGCTTTACGTAATGCCGACCTGTAACGCAGCAGCCAGGCAACAAACCTTTTCAAACGGTACCAGGAGGAAAATCTGGAAAATATTTCACTCATGTTGTAAAAGGCGGCGGGATTAGTTGTGACTGCCAGAGATTTGCATTTCTTTACTTCTGGATCGTCCTCTTTAACTTTGGAAACATCGTTGATCTCCAGTTTCGGCCAGCAGTCTTTTGTTTTCCATAAGAACTCTGGTCCATCCAGCCAACGTTTGTTCTTCAGCAGATCCTCTATTTCCAGTCCTCTCGACGCGTCGTCAGCAGGGTTAGATTTCGTGTCAACGTAGTTCCATTGAGATGGTGATGATGCATCGTGAATTGTAGACACGCGATTTGCAACGAAAGTGTGGAATCTCTTGTCTTCATTCGAAATATAACTTAGTACACACGTACTGTCCGGTCCAGAAGAACGAATCATTGATTGGAATATCGATTTCTTTCCTAATCGTCTTGTCTAACTTCGTTGCCAAGACAGCTGCCGACAATTCCAACCGTGGAATTGTAACTGATTTCAACGGTGCCAACCTTGATTTGCCCATCACAAACGCGCAGTGAACTTCTTCTTTCGCGTCGATCATTCGTAAATACGAAATAGCACCGTAGCCACGCTGTGAAGCATCAGAGAAGTGATGTAACTCGGACGAAGCGACTTCGCTGAATCCAGGCGGCTTAAAACAGCGTTTAACTTTGAGACCTTCCAACTTAGGTAAGTCTTTCAACCATGCTTCCCAACGTTTAATGTAAATATCCGGGATTGGGTCGTCCCATCCGATATTCATTCTGCACAGATCCTGCAGGATTTCTTTGGCAAGCAGAATGAAGGGCGCTGCGAAACCAAGGGGGTCATACACCGAAGACACAACTGACAGAATTCCTCGTCGCGTAAGTGGTTTATCTTTCAATGAGATAGAATATCCAAACGTATCAGCTTCAACGTTCCACAAGACACCGAGAGCACGTTCGGTTGGTAAATCCGCAAAGTGGATTACTTCTTTAAACGACTTCGATCTTTCTAACTCGGGAACCGACTCGATTACCTTTCTGGAATTTGACAGCCACTTTGTTAGTCGAAATCCACCTTTGGATAGAAGAAGTCGCAATTGCTCTGCCGTGTTAATCGCTACCTGTTCATTTTCGGTTGACTTGAGGCAATCGTCTACGTAGAAGTTGCGCTTGATAGTGTTGATGATTTCGGAATCGAATTCTTTCGCGTTGTCGTCAGCGGTCCGTCGTAGGGCGAAGTTAGCACAGGTTGGTGAAGATATCCCGCCGAATAGATGAACCAACATCTGATACTCTTCAGGTTCGCGGTTGAGGTCGTTCTCAGGCCACCACAGAAAACGTAAGGCATCGCAATCCTCGGGTCGGACTCGCACTTGGTGGAACATTGCTTCAACGTCTGCCATCATCGCCACTGGTCCTTCGCGGAATCGCGTCAAGACTCCAACCAAACTGTTGGTAAGGTCCGGCCCCTGTAACAGTTCCTTGTTTAAAGAGGTACCCCCGCATTCGGCTGCACAATCGAACACGACACGAACTTTATCTGGCTTCTGGGGATGGAAAACGGGGTGATGTGGTAGATACCAGGTAGTATTGCTTTGTCGATGACGTTCTTCCTCTGGTATTTTCCTGGCGTAGCCTTTCTGCAGGAGATCTTGCATGAAAGCTGAATATTTTTGAAAAAGGTCGCTATCTTTAGTTAATCTTTTCTTCAACAACATTAACCTACGTACTGCGATAGACTTGTTCTTTGGCAGAGACGGCTGTGTGTTCTTCCAAGGTAGGGCTAGTTCGTAATGGTTGTCTTTTAATCGAACGCTTTCTTCCATGATCTTCAACGCTCTTTTGTCCAGGCATGACATCGCTACGTCGTCTTCTACGTCATTAAATTCCCGATTGCAAAATTGCCGGAAGATTGTCTCCAACTCGTTGCTCTGAATGAAGTTAGCCGTTGCAGCTTGATGATCGTTACGACCCAGTGGTCCGTTTACTGTCCAACCCCAAACAGTTCTCACAGCGTACGGGCCATCTGAATTACTTTCTACAACCTCTTTAGGTTGCAACGCTTTCGGGACGTCATTACCAATTATGAGGCCGACTTCGCAGTCAGCTTCATCGATATCAATGCCTTCGAGATGAGACCAACGTTCTACATCGCTTTTGCGTGGGATATCCTCTCTGGATACTGGCAACTTGGAAACAGAAAATACGTTAGGAATTTCAACAGCATTCTGACCATTCAAATCGCTAACTTCAATGCTGACGACCGAGCTCTCCAATTTGCTCCTTTCTTTTTCCATAGTGGTCAGGGATAGTGTTGTTTTGCTGCCTTTGACCGCGAGTTGCTTTAACAGAGATTCGGTAATGAACGAAGTGTTAGAACCACCGTCGAGAAAGGCGTATGTTTCGACCGTTCGACTACCTTGTTTTGCTCTCACCTTCACTGGAACAATCGGCAGCCCTATCACACGAGATTCGCGACGCTCATCATCTGTGTTAACGTAACCGTTATGCACATTATGTTCGTCGACTTGAGATTGCTGAGGATTGGCGTTTTCGTTTTTTGGGTTTTTAGCCGTTTGGTCTCCGTCGGTATTTGCTGGCTTTCGATGCAGGAATGTAGAGTGCTTGTACTTGCATCCGTCCATCTTGCAGAAACTTCTTTTCTGGCACGAACGCGCCACGTGACCAGGTACGAGGCAATTGTCACATAACTTTAAGGAACGCACGAGTTTAAACCGCTCTTCGATCGATCTTTTCTTAAAGTCGTCGCACCGAGAAAGCCAATGACCGCTTCCACAAGATGGGCATTTCACTGCTGTACGAGGCGAGTTGTCGTCATTCCCCTTTGTTGCAAAGGCTGATCCTCGAGTCGATTTCGTGTTCTTTCCAACAGTGTTCTCGGATTTCGTTTCTCTCGAAATCTTGCCAAAAATTGGGTGATTGCAGGCTCTCGCTCGTTTCTCGACAAATAATGCGATGTCCTCGATTGTGATCTCGCGTTGTTTGACTTCGGTGATGTCATCGGCTACGTCACGCCATTTTTGTCGCAAACCAAAAGGTAACTTTTCCATAATCTTTTGTAAACTATCGGGATTTTCAATTTTACTAAGATAGCCAATTTGCTTGAGGGCATTTTTACAAGTTGTTAACATAATGGAAAACCGCTGTAAACTTTCACCGTCCTCAGATTTAATTGATGGGTAATTAGTTACACGCTCAACATACGCTGTGGCAATCTGATAATTTCTTCCGTATTTTGTTTTTAGAAGCCGACGTGCCTCTTTATACCCTTCTTCAGGACTCATTGATAAACAACTGCGCATTAAATCTTGTACGTCACCTGATGTGTATTGTAAAAGATAATATAGTCTAGAACTGTCACTTTGGGTTTTAGACTCTATCAATTGTTCAAAAGCTTGAATGAAAGTGTGGAAATCGATTGGGTTACCATGAAAGATGGGCACCTTAGGTGACGGAAGTGTCAAAGCCAATGTTTGCTGTTGTTGCTGGATTAATAACTCTACTATTTTTGCGTCTTGAGTGTGAGTTTCTTGCGAAGGGTAGACTGATTGTAATACTGCCAAATTTTCCTCATTTCCTATCGTGTTTAATTGTTCATTTGCGAGGGTGTCAGGCCTATTAAGATCTGTCAAATTCGTCTGACACCTAGAAACTTCGTTCCTATTAACACTCCAATCTTTAGCGTGGGGATTAAGTGGTGTTGACGGTAAGTTCTGAGTGGTTGGTAATTGGTTTACAGCTTCGAGGTTTATTCTAGAATGTTCTTCCCTGGGGCATCCCATTACTTTAGAGTTAACAATTGAACACGCACGCAATTCGTCACGACATTGTTTTGGATTGACATGTTCGGGTTGAGACGCGCCAATTTCGCTGTAAGTACGCTCTTCGGCAGCCGCTTGCGCTATTTTAGTTTCGAGTTCGAGTTCTTCTCTTTTTTGTTTAAGACAAAGCTCTTGTTGTTGGAGCTCTTGTCGCCGTTGAAGCCTGATCGCTTCTTCTTCTAGAACTGCCTTTCTTGCGGCAGCAGCAGCTTTTGCGCTAAACGCTGAACCCTTACTGGAGACTCGAGAACTCATTGAACCGATATCAGAGCGTACAACTTTTGACTTGCGTGAAGACTTTGAACCGCAGTCTGTGCGACTGCAAATATTACTCACGGAATCGCTAGGTCTAATTTCATTAAATTGTTCCGTTCCGTTTTTATGACAGAATTCGTTATTTTCAAGCCAAGTTTTTATCCTATCTTTAAATGCAGATGTTCTGCGTACTTCAACACTATAATAAGCTTCCGATTCCTGTACGTCATCTTCATCAGTTAAATTTGCGTGATAATTTCCATGTGCCAAAGTAAATTTTCTTAAAGATTCTTCAAAATCGTAATATACGCTCTGAACACGTTCCAAGTTATTAACATCCTTAACTAACTCGGCGATCTCATTTATTTTACGCGTGACGTTAGCTTTTGCGGTTTTTCTGGCCATTTTACTTTGGTAAATTTGTGTCGCATGATCCTGAACCGCGCTGTCCGCGCAACGATTTGAATCGAGTTCGTGATCGCTTATTTCTGTACTGATCTGGTCAACAGTTTGATTGGTTGCGTTTGGATCCATATACTACGGTTGTGTGACTGATAATTTGATTTGAATGATGAACCGATAGTTTTTGTTCAACTTGGGCAACACAGTCAACTCAAAATGCCAAACAAAACGTGGGCATCTTCGAACTTATGTAAGCCTCACTACTTCTAAACGAGAGGACCAAATTCAGTTCGTAGGCTTACGTGTGAGTATAGTCAGAAAATTTGATGAATCGGTTGGAAAACGCTCCAAACGCACGTGGCGAAATAGTTCAGAATATAAACAAATTCTGACAAAACCAACGGCAACGAAATACACGATCGCAAACTCGAGACGATAGTTTCAAGTATATAATTTCAACAAAAGTCTTTAACGTGTAAAACGCACAGTAACCGTGAACATAAACGTGAAACGTGGTTCGACTAAATAGAATAGATATAGACCTAAATTAATACTAAATCGTATAAACTGACTATATAAAACATAACTACACAATAAACTTATGAACTGCATGCACATGAATTGTCACTTACAGATGTTTTCCCTGTCGCTCTTTTTCGTCTATTCTTTTACCATAAAATCCTCTAAAAGATGTAGCAGTTCCTCTCTCTTTGAATTACAAAACTATACTGATCCATGCACTGGTTTGCGTGTCATGATGTACACTTGTCATATTAAACCAATTATGAGATAAAATAAAGGCTGATTATCTATACTAACAAATGTTCGACTGCTATGTGATCATTAACAGATGCGAGTGTCATTCACAATGATGCACTTATTTAGCTTAACGTCTTAATGTAGCTTTCCGATCCAACAGCGGGTTTATCTTTATTTATGGACACAGGCTCAGCCTTGCGTTTTCGCTTTGGAGGCATGACTAGTAGTTTTATAGTGACTTCTGTGACTTGCTTGACAAAAGTTTTACAGTATAATTTATACGGAAGTTTACATAAAATACATCGCTTGCCATAATTTATACGGAACATCACTTGCCACACGCGTTGTAATTGGTTAACAACAATTGAATTAATTAGTGGGGAAAAATAGACAGAACTTCAAAAAACCCCGCGAAATGTTTAAAGTCAATTATCAGATATATTAATTTTGAGTCGTAAACACGCACTAAAAAAGCTTGGTTAGTCGTGCGTTTTAACCGATCGTTCTGAAATTTGCACACACTGTAGGTGTATGTCTTGGCTACAAAAGGGTTTTCGCGCGAGTTTTACAAGCCTTTAGTTGCAAAATTACAGACCTTTTTCGTGCATTCGTTGCAATATAACACAGGTCGGGAAAGAACATGTCTTAGCTATGTAACCCCTGAAGCAACGATAAAATGCGAACACCCTTTTTTAGTGCAATACTCGAGAAGCGTAAAAATGATAGATTGACAGGATTTTAGTGAAACCTACATCTAACGTAGCTCGCCGCGCGAAGGTCCCATAAACTTAAACTTGTAACAATATTCGGGAAAGTTATTTCTTTCTGATATATTTTATAACCCTATGTTTTTTTTCATCTATCGGACTATATTTGGAGAAAATTTGAGAGAAATTGGATAAAAATTCGCCGAGTAATGGTAAATCTCCCGAAACCTGCGCGTAGGGTCTCCTGTAACCTTAAAATTTATAAATTGTAAAAAGTATTTTTCGTTCCGCTATAATACCTTATACACACAAAATGAGGAAAAAATCTATGCTAATGAAATAAATGTATTGAAATATAGACCAGATAGTCAAAAGAACCGTCGTTGAAGACCAGCTATATAGCTTAGGAAAGCATTGTGAAAGATTTTTAGCTCGGTATTAAAGTTACCTTATGTTAGTTTCAATGTTTCCCTTTGCGAAATTTTTCGCAGGCTGAGTCATGTTTCGTCCCGCTTAAATTAAATGCCTATGAACTATAAGTTGCCAAACAAAACAAAATATTTTGAAGACCATCTATAATAGCTCAGGAAAACATGTGAACATTTTTAGCTCGGTATAAAGGCAATGCTTTTGACAATTTATAAATTTTAAAGCGAGTTTGCGAAAAATGTTGCAAGACTGAGAAACATGAAAATAAATTGACTTACCGAGCTAAAAATCTTTCACATGTTTTCCTTAGCTATATAGCTGGTCTTCAACGACGACTTTTTTGGCTATCTGGTTTATATTTCAATACATTTATTTTGTTAGTATGTATTTTTTTCTCATTTTGTATGTATAAAGTTTAATATATAACGTGACGAAAAACACTTTTAATTTATAAAATGAGCTATAAAACAAAAATATTGAAACTCACTTACCTAGCGATAATTTTCTGCGCAAAAGTTTTGCTTTTCGTATTTTTTTCCTCGATTGTATTTCTCTAAAAACTCTTTTAGGTATCTGTCTATAAATATTTCTCGTTCGCCCCCCCCCCTGATGTTAAAAACTACGAGAAAGTTTGTTTATTTTTTTAACCAATAGGATTGCATTTTCAATAGCGTCATACCCGTTACAAGTATCCCGCATCTGGACAAAAACATTTCGGCTAAAAACTCGGAAACTTTTGCTCCTTACTCGTTTGTCGGTAACATTTATAAACATTTTAGTTTGGGTTAATGTAGAGTAGTTATCAGTTTTCAAAGTTTCTGTTGTTTTTTTGTTGTTTTACATGTAAAAAGTCGCGTATTTTGATGTTCTCGCGATGTGTGTGTCTTTCCAGTCAATTAGCTTGCTTACCTTGGTAATATATATATATATATATACGGTGAATCATCATGATGACAATGCCCACGCGATCGTCACGCGACCGTGATAATTTCCACGCGCGAGTGTTAAAGCTATTTCACTTTCAGAAACTAGAATAAAATCAACACACATATCTGGGCTGCCTATGGATCAACTAATATAAACATACAAAATCACTGTAAAATCCAGGGGGGGTTGAACTTTGTCGCCCACGAACATTCGAGCCACGGGTCAGTGGAAACCCCCATGAAAATAGGTCGATTGTGACGTCAAATCCGCCATGTTTTTGGACACACTTTCGTCGAGAGCACGATCTCCAGATATATAAGTATAGCTCAGTGGTGCCGACCGAAAAAAAAGTGAAGCCAAAAACATGGCGGATCTGACGCCATTGCCATGACTACTGGTCCCTAAATTCATGGCAACTACCACTGTCCCAACCGCGATCCTAAGTTTTCGACAATGTACTTCACCCCCCTGGTTTCAGCACAGATATTTTTATATGATTTCGCTTGTTTTTGAGGTAAAAATCGCACGGAAAATCTTGATATTTTTCTCCTATAACTTGGTTGATTTACAATGTCGAGGATCCTGCCTTTTTGCGCCTCTCGTAGATGTATGAGATGTACAAGAAGAATCTTTTTATTCACCGGTAAGATTTTTATATATTGTAGAAAATTTGAAGCAGAAGTACAAACTACAAAGTTTATAATACTACGAACATAAAAGTATATGAACAGCAAATTATTAGCAGACATAACAACCTGTAAATGGTTGGCAATTCTGTACATTTTATTGTTCTTTTGATTTGGTACTACTACTGCTATATAGCGATATTTGCGTAGGGTTTCATGGCTGGTTAATATGATTTCAAAGTCCTTGCTGTAGTGTCTGCACACTTGTATTTATTTAGTATTTTAGTATATTAAATTTTCCTTGACAAACTTTGAGTGATATTCTTGCCAGGTTCTTGCCAGCAGTTGTTTATAATTACTGTGTAGTCACATGAAATCTCACTTACATGACATGTAGACAAGTGAACAAATACTTTGCTAGCTAGGCCAAAGACATCAGGTTCAAACCATTCAATACCCATTGCAATCAAGCAATTACCATAAACATATAAGCCCCCCCCTCCCCCCAATATAAGCCCCCCTGTGTATAATCCCATCATATTTACTCAGGCTATTCCGAATATAAGCCCCTCCCCCCTCTAATGTAAGCCAGGCCTGTGTGTACAAGCCCATGGGATTATATTATTTGACAGGGGCCGGTTGTATCAAGCCTGTTTAGCTTAATTTCTCATGAATCAGTCGACTTAAATATTCTGCAATGAATATGTAGTTGTAAACATCATTCTATTAAGGTTCAAAACTTCTAGTTTGGTTGTTGAATGAATCTATAGAGTCTGAGTTGCTTTCTATTTTGAGCTTAACCAACGTTTAAGCTAAACAGGCTTGATACAATTGGCTCCAGGTATATTTATTAATGCAGCTTTAGCCATACATATTAGAATACAAGCCCAGGGCTAGCTGGCTTACATTCAGAGGCCGGTTTACAATATCTCGCCCAACATATAGTTTGTCAGAGTTCTATAAATCCCACAGTCATTAGAGGTAATATAGGAATGAAAGGTGCACAATATGTGTGCCAGTCACCTTCGCATTGACCGGCCAACCTTATGCTCTGACAATTAAGTCTAAATTGATTGATGATATGTTTGAGAGCAGTTTCAGGTTTCAGTGGTGGTGTCCCCAGTATTGGAATAGAGCTCAAATTTCAGTTAGATATATTATTTGTGATTGTTGTGAACCTTCTCACTTAGATCATTTGTGATATATTGTAATTAAATGTAAAATGAAACTTTGGGGAGTTAAGAAATACAATTAATTGACAAGACTGTCCCCTTGACAAGTAAAATTGTCAGGCATTAGACTGCCTGAGTAAAATAATAAGCTTGGGTGCAATTAACTGCTGTACGTTTTAAAGTTGGTTGCAAGCTTTAAAGTTGGTT